CTCCCACGCCGTGGCTTGACAACGCGTCAATAATTATCGATTTTCCGTCCTATCTGATTGGACCGTGAATACTGCCGCCTCTCCGCTATGCGCACTGAAATATAACCTGGAGCCTTTTTGTGTGACTGACTTGCACTTCTGTATTGCAAATAATGGAAATCATATTGAAAATATAATTTCTTAACATTATAATTAAATAAAATTCTTTTGTTCTAAAGGTATGTATTTATTCCCTATGTACCCGGACTTCGTGTACACCCTGTAGTTACGCCCGATCTCGTTCCCCGCCGTCCTGACTCGGTCTTGCTACCACGTCCAGATGTGTAATGACCAGGATGGCCATTTCTGGCTTATTAACTGTCATCAGTCATACCCAATCCCAGGTGTGGATCATCCGGGATTCTTACCCGAGACCCTTGGTCATTGAGTTTAACACGACCATTACACCACGAGCTCGTTGCTTTGTCGGTTGCGATCGGTAATATGATGGAAGGAGGGTGTTCAGCGATATATCTGATTAGAGAATATACTCTTTCCATGCTGCCTTGAGGCTCGTTTTCGAGTGATGGCAGGTAGTCGTTTAGTGAGTTCAGACATATGATGAAGTGGAACTCTCACGCGAGTCCAGTGGCAAGGAATAAAAGATTGTATAGCTCACTGCATATTTAGCTCACCTCTACCGAAAGTTACCTTCAGATCTGCCTTTCATTTGTTCGCGCAACACCTGATAAGCCCCCAGACGATAGAAATAGTTGTTAATAGAATCCTCGCGTAAGTGCCATGCCTCCTGCAGCAGGCGCGAAATTCGGTCGCCTGACTGACCCACTATTCTTACGTTTTCGAAATCTAAGCCATACCCTAGCGAGAATACGTGGACGGCAACCGAGGAAAGCTTGTTTCTCCATCGCACGGCGAGTTTGTGCTCGTGTAGGCTCGTAAGAACCAGTTAGTCAGTTTCGCCAACATGATTGGCTTGACCACAAAGACAGTCGATCCGGTAAATAACACCAGATTTTTTGTTAATGGGTACTAGGTCTTTAGACTGCGTGAGTTACCTGCGGATTGTCGCTTCCAGTCTGTGAGCGACGCCAGTCCCGAAATCCTTGACCAGTCGAGCAAATTTATCAGATTTATTAGCAATATAGGGTACTGCTCGCCGGCATTTTGGTTCCGGCTGCCTTTTCGGATTTCTTCCTTTGGCTTCTCGCCCGCATTTTTCAACGAAACTGCCAGGATATCCGTGAACTGTGAAGAGTTTCCGCAGAAACTGGACCTCGGCCTTCTTGTCGGCTGGGTCGCTGCAGTGGGTTTCTACTCGGTGATGTAGTGTTCGCACGCAGTATACGAAGGTCATTCGCAGCAGCAGTGAACGGTACAATCCTTTCCTCCCTGACTATGGGTTCGCATGAGAGTTCGAACCCTTAGATGAATCCCCAACTGGCTTCTGCTGTTCAATTACCTCGCATATTTTCGATAATTCTGAATATATAGGAGCGAAGATTCGAGGTCCCCAAATAACA